TAGACGTGCTGACTAAGCTGTACTCCTCCAACTTTGGAAAAAATATCACGCATGGAAAACGGGCCACTACAGTGATCTGGTATTAACTATTCGATCAGCTAACAGTATGATTGCTAAAGTCCAAGTTGTAATAAGCATAGATGTATATAATATGGTAGTACTAGACTACTAGTTTAGTGACTAATGGCGTGCCATATCTTGAAGATCAACTCGAGCTGTTAATTAAGAACAAAAAAGTGCATATCGCCTTTCGGATCATGCGCATCGTCACCTGCTCTGACTAAATTTTAGCCCATCATACGCTTCACTTTTTTTTTCAGTATTGCAGGGCCTACATAGGTTACATTCTTTGCCAAAGGAACAAAAGGATAGTGCCGAAAGGGAGCACAACACTACCAAAGAGAAAACTGAAAGAGCAAGACGAAGCAGAGTCGAATAACAATTGTTGATCTGCAACCATTATTAAAAAGATATGTTCGTCTGCAAGAAATTAAGGGCGAAAGGTCTGATGGTATATGGCGCCTGACAGAAAGAATTTGTTCAGCGAGAAAGAATAGAAGCTGCACGGTGTTAGTTTCCATGCAAGAGACGGTTACAGACGAGAGAAAGAAGAGCTTGCAGACCTAAGCCAAGAATGATTTCGCAGACAGTCAGACTCCCATGAGCTATAATAAAAACAATACGGCAAAAGAAAGCTTTCAGCATGGAGAACTCAGTACACACATACGAATATGATCGTCAAGGCATTTGAGATGCCACATTAGGTTCGGCGAGCGAGCCTTCGTTGTTTCCATCATCGTCCTCCAATGGCTGTGACAAATTAAACCTCAAGTAAACTTCAAGAAACAGCACATAAGAAAAACAAAAGCGTCAGGTAAAATATATAGAATCCTTTTCTTTTTTTGAGAAAAGTAAAATGGAATCACTAAAGAACCCAGAAGGTCGGAGATTTTGGACTTGAGAGGAAGGGGGAAGCATAATCAGGACTCAGGAGAGTAGGAGACATGTTGATTGAGAACACTAAGCTGAGGAGGTCTTCATATATACAGTAGAGGCATTCTCGCATTGGAGGCCAAGGCGCTGGGGTTGGTGTAGATGTGCTCACTGTACTCGTTCAGAATTCAGATCCAGCTTTGCAAAGAGTAAGCATGGAGAACAGGCCATCACAGTGATGATTGCTAAAGTTCACGACATTAGCATATAGTACAACCAATTTGGTACTAGTTTAGTGACTAATGAGGTGCCATATCTCAACTGCCCACCTTTGATGATCAGCGCGAGCTGTTAATCCAGACTAATTTACTGCAACGTGCCCTTTGGAATGATGCTCAGCGTCACCTACTCCAGTTGATTTTAGTACGCTGCCACTCATCTTGTCAAAAGCATACCCTTTGTAGTACCAAAAAGAAATTTCAGGGCATATGACACTAGTACGCTGATTTAGATTACATTGTATAAGGTTTAACGCAGACTAATACGAACAAACAATGAATTAACATCTTCTTGTCAAAAGAATACACTTTGTAGTACCAAATAGAAATTTCGGGACGTAACACTACATAAAATTACACTGGCTTAGAGTATGCTGTATAAGATTTTTTTTTGATAATGTATGCTGTATAAGATTTTAATATATAAACAAATACAAACAATCAATCAGACTCCAATTCTACAATCCTTCGTTGGGTCACTGTGACGTGGAGATGCACACCAGAGCAGTTGGCGGAGCTCGTCAATTTTAACGCCTAGGGCCACTATAAAAGCCTATATATAATCTATATAGGGTCAAAATATAGCCTCGATTCTAATCACATTAGGTTTGGCTGGTTACAGTATCGTTCATTCGTTTATGTGAGAGAGAAATCTTTACTTGCGGTTCTAATAAGTAGCCATGTGAGGGAGTCGGCCACCCGACCCTAGCCCAAATGATCATAGATAGATAACAAAACTAGCTCATAAATGCATAAGTTTAGGTAATATCATAATTCCATACTTAAATCCATAGTATAATTGATGGAAACATGAAAATACCTAACTAATAATGGTTTGGTTCGCCCTTATCTCTTCATTGTGCAACTCTAAAAAAATGATATAATCAATTAATCATTGGAATTTCTACTAGATCGGAAAGAGAACATTAAAATAGCACTTAAATATGAGAATGTGCTATTACCAAGCTTCAGTCGGTCTTCTTCGATTGCAATTGGCAATGAACTGAGCCACAGAGAGCAGAGTCGCAGAGGCAAGAACACAATACACACTTGCACAGACTCACAATCAGTCAGTCTTTCTTTCTTTGTCTCTTGAACCCCCTCTGTCCTTTTTTTTTTTGTACTTCACTTTATTTTATTGTACTTACTTTTAAGCTCTTTTTAATAAATCACCAGTAGGGGTGCGCCCCTCCTGTTCAACGTCAGAAAAACAATCAGTCAGTCTGTCTCACAGAGACAGAGGCACGGACAGAGCGGAAGGGACTTCATGTCAATTGGGCCAGTAGATGGGCCAAATGTTGCTGCCTAGCCCAACTGCCGAAGCAACAGGCAAGAAGCTTCTTGGGTTCTCGGCTTCTCGTTCGTCACGGCATCGGCATCGGCGGCTATCGGTCCAGACGGCCGCGCCAAGCCTGAGCGCTGCGGGTGAGGGTCTAGCGCCGCCGGCCGCCCCACCCTGCTGTAGCGGTGGGTCCGCGGGTAGGGCTTTACTTCGCTAGTGAAGTTATTTTTTTTTTGTTTTAGCTCCACAGACAGTTCTACTGGTGGAGCTAAAGTGGTTTTGATAAACCGTTTAACAAAATGGCTTCTCTATGAAAATATGTTTTTAGAGGCTTAGAGGAGGAGCTAGGAGAAACCACTTTTTTTTTCTTCGTCCCACCCCAAATAACTGTAAAAGCATATTTTCAGGGACCAGTGAAGCTATTTCACTTTCTCGTTTAGTTAAAAAAAAACCGGCTCCAAACAACTCTAAAACCGGTGGAGAAGCCTGCCGAACGGCGCCTAACAGCTCCTCCTCCCCGCTCGCGGCCCGCCTCCTGCGCCGTGTGCTCTCCCGCTCGCCGCAGACGCTCTCCCCTCTCCCGAGGTCGCGCTCCTCCCCCTCCTCCTCTCCTCCTGGTGGGTACGAGTGCGTACGTCACAAACTCCGCCTCCCTGCGCCTTGCATCCATGCCCTTCTGAGTGCTGATTCTGTGCTGGAATGTGGATTGCAGCTGCTCTTCTGTCGCCGCGCTGAGCTGCGAGGTGCTCGGCGCGGCAGCGCTGCGGTCCATGGAGACCGGCGAGATGCTGGCGTCCGACACTGGCATTGCCAGCGGCCTGACGAGGACGCTGGGAAGTAGAAGCCAGCGAGTGATTGAGGCTGCCTGTAATTCTATATTGGATCTCTCGGCGTCTTCAGTCAGTAGGGAGCGACTTGCAGGCTCACCTGTTCTGCCCTGGACATTGTAAGCATCCACATCCCTACCATTTGTTTGGTTGTACTGTACTTGAAAGCACATTTTGCTTGCTGTTTGGTATGATTTCGTCTCTCACCTTAGACACAAAATCCAAATTTGTGTGTGCTAGAACCTTGATTTTTTGTTCGTGTACTATTTAGTTTTCGTATGGTACTTCTTTTTTGAGGTCAACACCGGGGGGTCCCAACAGTTGAGTAGTATGCTATCTCTCTTGGGTAGACGGCAGCGCCAAAGCCTGACTGCTTCTTTGCAGGCGGCCGTGACCCTATTCAGGTTCGGAGCCATGGCCCGGAACACGACGTCGTGCCGATGTTTCCATAGTTCCCAGCAGCAGAGGAGGATTAGAGAGCTCACTGCCGAGTCCGGGACGTGGGCTGGGGGAGTGGATTTCCAGATTTCAGAGACTGGTGCGATCGCCCCGTTTGCCAGCCAATGCGTCTCCAGAAGGAGCTAGCAAAGGGGCAGCCGGAGATGATGTGGTCGGCGGTCTCATCCGCCGCGCCACAGACGTTGCACTCGGCATTCTGAAGGATGTTCTTGCGGCGGAGGGACGTCTTGCATTGGATGCGGTTGTTGGTGAGGAGCCATCCGAAGAACTTGACTCGGGGCGGAGCGAAGTTACGCCAGACGAAGTTGAAGGAGGGGGAAGTCTGCTCACCACTCCTGGAAGCTCTGTATATCATGCCAGACCATAGCCGGTGATCCGGCGTCTCGTAGCCGCAGTGTCTCTCGTCCGGATCAGTCGTCAAGACGACGTCCGCGAGGAGCTGGTTCAGCTCCCCGAGCTCCTGAGTAGCCTGGGCGGAGAGGCGGCGTTGGAGCACGTTCCCGATCCCGGCATGCACGACATCGCGGACCGAAATTGCACGGGCGTCAGCGTGGCTGTGCAGGGCCGGTAGATGCTCTGCTAGAGGAGCGTCCAGGAACCATGTGTCATTCCAGAAGTCGGTGTTTTTTTTTTCTCGAATACGCACGAGTGTGCATATCATTGTATTAGAAGAAAGAGTTTATAGTACAAGAGTTTCATTCCCGGCCGTTAGTTAGTTTCCTACGGACGCTACATTATGGAAAAAAACAACCACCGTAATCCATGTCTATCCTGACAAGGACCTAGCCCTGCGCTAGCGCACGTAGCCCGCTTGCTCCTACCGTCACCGACGTCATCTTTTGGTACGCCGGCAATAGCTGACGGAGCGCCTCCCAGTGAGCCCCATCAAGGGCACCGCTCAGGTCCGCCAGGTTGATCTGTGTGGTGACCCAGCTTGCCCATGCTGAGTGCCCTGGGTGATGGAGGCGGTGGATCAGTTTGAGGAGCAGGGCAGCGTTCTGAGTCTCTAGGCGTCAGTTCACAAACACGTTCCCAGGCGATGAGGCACTGAGCTCCAGAGGCATGGTCCGAGCCTGACCATAGGAAGGCCCTGCGTCTGGCATCGATCGCTGCACAGACACCCGGCGGCAGGAGCATAGCGCCCATGGCATATGTTGGTAGGCTGCTGAGGACGGAGTTGATGAGGATGACACGGCCTGCTGAGCTGAGGAGCGATGCCTTCTATCCGGCGAGGTACCGGTCCACTTTGGCAATGAGGGGCGCGAACGTGGACAGCTGCAGCTTGGTGTTGGACAGGGGCAGACCAAGGTAGGTCTGCGGAAAGACCCCACGTTGGCATTGCAGGGTGTCCATCATACCTCGCAATTGATCCTCATCCACGTTCATGGGAGTGACGGTGCTCTTGGAGAAGTTGATGGCGAGCCCGGTTGCAGCTGCGAAGCTATCGAGCGCCCTTTTCAGGTGGTAGGCGGACTCAGCTTCTGCCCTGACCACCACTATGGTGTCGTCAGCGTATTGGAGCACGGCGCAGGGGGAATCAGAGAGGGGATGACGGATGGCACCGTTGCTCTTGATCAGCATCTGGAGAATGTCCGCAACCAGGAGGAAGAGGTAGGCTGAAAGGGCATCCCCTTGACGCACCCCCCGCTTGCAGGTGATCCATTCACCAGGATCGCCGATCTCGATGTCACTAGCAGTGACTTGATCCATTGAATCCATTCCCCTGGGAAGCCACGGACATGGAGGATTGTCAGCAGGCTATCCCAGTTCACGGAATCAAAGGCCTTGGCGAAGTCAAGCTTAATGACGAGGGTCGGGGCTCGGCGTTTGTGGCAGCACTGGACCAGCTCCGCGGCGTATACGAAGTTCTCCGATATGGATCGCCCCCTGATGAATCCTGTCTGATCCACATCGATGAGCTTTGCAATCTGTTTCTGTAGGCGGGTGGTGAGCAGCTTCGTAAGGACCTGACTGGGCAGTTTTGCAAGGCCACCGGCCGGAAAGCCGATGGGGTGATGGCAGCCGGCGTTTTGGGAATGAACACAATCAGGGCTCTGTTGATGCGCTGAATGTCCACCCGCCCGCCATGGAAGTCCCGGAGGAAGGACATCACCGCGCCCCGTGTGAGAGCCCAGGCAGCGGAGTAGAAGCCAGGCCCCATGCCGTCTGGTCCGGGGGCGCTGTCTTTGTCCATCGCCCGCACCGCTCGTAGCGCCTCTGAGTCCGAGAACGGCTCGATCAGCGGCGCGGCGTCAGCGCGCGCGTGACCGTCGTAGAGGCTGACCAAGTCGAAGTCTTAGCTGGGCGCCGACACACCGCCTAAGATGTTGGTGTAGTAGGCGGTGAGTGCGGCGACCTTGTTGTCGTGAGCCACAATCGGGGTTCTGTCGACCTCAAGGGTTCGGATCCCGTTGTGGCGTAGCCTGGCGGAGGCCCTGGCGTGGAAGAAGCGAGTGTTGGCGTCACCTTCCCGGAGAGCTCGGAACTTCCCACGTTGCTTCCAATACGCGGCGCGCTGAGCGATCACCAGAGCGATCTGGTCCCTGCACAGCCCGCGTAGCCGCTGCTCGCCCGCCGTCAAGTCCCTGTGTTCTTCATAGAGGTCCAGGAGCAGAACTATGAAAGAGGCGTTAGAGTAAGCATACAGAGGCATTGAGTTATGGCGTGACCAGAGTTTGGCAGCCCCCCTGAGCGCTTTGATCTGGGCAGCCAGGCTACCAGCAGCTTCCCAGGGGTCTGAGCATAGGACCGGGCATCAGCTACGGCCGGAATGAAGGTGGGGTTCTTGAGCCAGCTGTTCTCGAATCGGAAACGATTGGACTTAGGGATGGAGGTGGGAATGGAGAGGATAAGGGGAATGTGGTCGGAGGTAGAGCCGAGGCGAGAAGAGAGAGCGGAGTTGGGGAAAACAGAGCAGAAAGTGTTGTTGACGAGCACGCGGTCAAGGCGGGCAAGGTAGGAGACTGACGTTTGTTAGACCAGGTGTAGAGGCGATCGAGCAGAGGGAGCTCAATCCACGCCAGGTTGTAAATGGCGGCGTTGAATTTCTCGGCCAAACCCCGGTTGAAGCCTTGGGTGTTCTGATTGTGCATACTGCTACTAGACTTGACTAATAAAATTGCTTGCATTAGCAAGAGCTACTTGAGCCATGTGTTATACCTTAAGGTACCGGCATTGAATTATATTGTAAGTGCATGGCATATCATAATCATAATCTGGTAAAGGTAGCTATTTCATCTGTAACTAGAAGGCAGGCATCACAATCTTTTTTTAGATAATTGATGAAAGGGACGCATTATGTTTGTACTTTCTGAATGTCTTCAGCAGGTGAAAATGTGAAACTGACTTCCTGTAGGCATCTATTTTGTCAGGTGGAATCTGTTTATGGATTTACCCACAGCAGAAGCACTGAGTCCCCAAAAAGTCTTACAGAAGCAAATAAAATCCTGTGCTTGATCATTGACACAGTGGTGCTCTTGGTGAATTCTTGTGAGATTGACAATTTGTAGAATCTGCAGCAGGAGCTAGTAAGGAATGTTCTGTCTTTGTTGTACAAAATCTGGAAGAGAACTCAACTCTTGAGATCGTCAACTGATTGCAACAAGTGGAAGAATAAACTTCAAAGTAAAGAATACGAGATACCTGAAGCTATTTTCAGGTTTTCGATTGGTCTTGCTTCTCCAGCCTGCCCAGAGCCTGATGTGGTCAGGAAAAGTATTTTTGTCCAAACAGTGTCTGACTTTGAAACTTTTGTCCTGGCCTACTGGGAAAAGTCACCTAATTTGTACAGGAGGAAACAAAGCACTCAGAAGGATAGTCCTGTTTTGGCTGCACTGCACAGTGCTTTTAATCTTGGAACAGCACCTGATGCTATCATTGAATCATTAATAAAGGGTCTTGTTTCTTGCCCTGCTATTTCTTCTGATGAACTTGACATAAATTCATTTCTCCATGAGGTTCATGATTCCTTGGGTGATTTTGTAAAGTACAGGCAAGACATTAGAGTCATGAGAACACAAAATCCAAATGACCAAACCTCAAGGGGATGTGTGACAGAGGAACATTTTTTCGATGATGGATCAATCTTCATGGATGAAGATGCATTCATCGAAAAATGTAAGCACGCCTTTAAGAATGGTTATTCGATTGCCTTGCGTGGCATGGAGTTCCGGTCTGAAAAGGTTGCTGCTGTAGCTTCTGCCCTGGCTGATCTATTTGGGCAGCCTTCTGTAGGAGCCAACATATACTTCTCACCTGCAAGATCTCAAGGCTTGGCTCGACACTATGACGATCACTGTTTACTTGTTTGGCAGCTACTTGGTAGCAAGAAATGGATGATTTGGCCTAATCCGAAGCCACTTTTGCCTAGACTATATGAACCTTTTGACCCTTTAGATGGCACTTTAGATGAGAACAGTGGGAGAGTGGAGGTTTTGCTTGAAGGGGACATGATGTACATCCCCAGAGGCTATGTTAATGAGGCTCGCTGACTTGATGTTGGTGAATCAGAGATGAATGCATATGCTGAATACTCACTCCACTTGACCCTTGCTATTGAGGTCGAGCCACCCTTTGAGTAAGTATTCTTTGTATTGATGTAGAATTCTTGCTGTGCATGTCTAGAGCTTCTGCTTCTAAAGTCTTTACGTTTGCTGCAGGTGGGAAGGTTTTGCACATATCGCCCTTCATTGTTGGACAGAGAAGCAGCAGCTTAGAGATTCTCAACTTGTCGAGTTCAAGGGGAAAGTAGAAACTTCCTTATCTGCTATTGTGCTACATGTGCCCATCAGGTTGCTCTCAGACAGTGATCCTATTTTCAGGAAGGCGTGCATGGTTGCGGCAAAGTTTGGACCATCCAGTTCCTGTACAATGACTCACTTGAAGGCTTTTCGAAGCAACCAGAGGTCAACTTTCGATGAGATACTGAGGAAGATCGATCAGAACTGCAGCATCGAGGAAGCATTGAAGCCCATCGTGTTGGCAGTGAAAGAGAGAGACGACGAAGCCTTTCAGTGGATGAGCTGGCTGCGGCACCTGCCTCAGCAAGGGGTTGACATAATCGATTTCTGCAATATTTTCGGAACCCTCCAAGAGCTGCTTGATGCGTTCAACTCTAACCCTGACCAGGCCCTGGATGGCTTCACAGCCTTCAAGTCAGGGTTTTGCCAGCGCGTCGTGTACGAGGACGCGTGCGAGACCTTTGAGACTTTGCTTGAGATGTACAGGACGACTAGGACTCAGTACATGAGGGGAATGCTGGCGTTGCACGGTGCAGGTGCACAATGTTAGAATTGATCTCATCCGTCTTGACCCAACGGTCGAGATGGACCCCTTGACCGCGTCCTGATCGGGGACGTCCAGCCATCTATTGACTGGTGGCCCCCCGTCGCGCAGTGCCTATAAAGAGGAGGTGGGGCAAACGGCTCAGGTAACGAGGTTCACCGCCGCCACAGCCCCACTGTCCTAACCCTAATCCGATCTAGAGGGTGGCACTGCCAGCGGCGGGAAGCGCCACTGCCTCCACCACCGCCGGTCTCCACAGCTACACCAAACGTCGCTGCCCTAGCGCAGATCATCACCGGCGAACCAGCGAAGGCAGGGAGCTCCTCCGACGGTCAGATGCTCCTACATCTCCCTCTCTCTCTCTCAGTCTCCTACTCCCGAAGCAAACTCTGGATCTATGTGTTCGAATGGAAGTCAAAATACCCATTGATCTACTCCTAGTCGATCCAAAAGAGTTAACAATGGTATCGGAGCCGTCGATCTAGTGTGTGGATTGTGTTAGGGGTAGCGGTGTAGAAGGAGATGAGTTAGATCCGGTTCGGATCGAAAAAAGGAAATACAGAGGGTTCATCGAACCCTAAACCCTAATCAGGTGATAGAAAGAAAAAGAAAGGGATTCGAATTCGATTCGGATTACCCTAAAGAACCCTAACCCTAAAGAAATTGGATGGTCCGGGGGAAGTCTTACCAGGGCTTCCCCGCCGCCGTCACTACCGCCTCACGCGGGATGGAGCACCCGTCGCCGGCTTGCTGACGCGCGGGAAGAGAATAAAAATAACAGAAAAGATAAGAATGGTTTAGATCCGTTCGGATCTAGACAAAGAAAGAAGGTTTTCTGAACTCTAACCCTAACTGGGTTAAGGAAAGAAGAAGAACAAAGTGAATCCCTAACCCGAAACCCTAACCCTAGATCCAATCCCCATCCCCAAATCCAAACAAGCAGAAACGCAGAAGGGAAAAGGGACGGCTTACCTCGCCGTCGTGCACTTGGCGCTGCGGGGGGAAAAAAAGGCCGGCCGGGGCACTTTTCATTGATCCGGCCACGTGGGCGCCAGCAGGCTAGGCCGCTGACGGCAAGCGCGCAGCTCACCATTGGGAACGCAGACGCCGGCTGAGGGAGGGGGCGACAACCAACCGGGCTCATTGCTCCATTGTTTCGCCCACTCGCTCGCTCGGTGACTGCTGCGGCGGCACTGAGGAAAGAAGAATGAGCGCAAACCGGCGAAGAGAGAGAGAGCAGAAGAGAAAATGACTTAGGGTTTCGGATGGAAGCCGGCGTCGGCGTTTTTCATTCGCCCGAAGACGCCGCGCAGCCGTTCGATTGGATCCAACGGCGCTAGTTCATTGGGCCAGCGCCAGGCCTGTGGGCGAGAGCGCGGGCGTCAAATTCTGCCCAGCCCGTGTTGCGGCCTGGGGCGCGGGAGAGGCGCCATGAGCGCCACGCTACCGTCGCTTCTGGCTGGTCAGACGCGTATGGGTGCCTTCGGCCGAAAGCGAAGCTTCAGTGCCGGCGGATTCTTCTTACCGCCGACAGGAGACGAATGAATAGTAAATGATGTTTTGAAGTCTATTTATTTTTAGAAGCATATTTGAATGAATTTTGATCAATTTGAAGATGTAAATTTCTGGTAAAATTGCACCAACGTGTTAGATTTTTCAAAGAATAGAAAATTACAGTAAAATGCTTCTGAAAAGTATATAAAGAAATTTTGTCATGTTTCCGCTGCAAAGTTAAAGATGTTGTCTTCTTATTAAATTCAAACCAACGGGAGAATTTAATTTGAAGAGCATTTATAGTTATTCAGTAAATGATGAAAAGTTTATCCTCCAGTTAAAATTGGAACCAACTGAAAAAAATTTAATTGGAGGAATAGTCGGTTGATAGTTAAGATAAATTATAATATTGTTATTTTCTGACCAACGTTGATGATAACAATATTATAAGTTTATTTATGAGTTTAAGTTTAAAGTTAAATTATGGTATTGTTATTTTCTGACCAACGTTGATGATAACAATATTATAATTTTATGAGTTTTATGATTAAAGTTTAAATCTCTGATGAATTTTGCATCAAAGTGACCAATTTTTAGAGAATAGATAAAGATCAAGGAATGCTCTTAAACTAGATAAATGTATTTTCATGTTTCCGCTGCAATGAAGTTGATTGTCTTCTAATTAAATTCGAACCAACGGGAGAATTTAATTTTGAGGAGCAGTTCTATGTTTTCAAGATTATTGAATTTCTATATGTTAATTCCATTTCTGCCCAACGGTGATGTGGAATTAATATAGAAGAATGATGTTTTATTCTATTTTTGCCAAACGGTGATATAGAATAGAACATAAAGATTTCAAAGTTAAATGAACGTTATTATTGAATATTTTTTTCAGACAAAAGACCTCCATGCTTTCATTCTTGAAGGCAATAAGAGAAATGAGCTGGGTACTTATGACTCAGATGATGAAATGGCTAAGGGCAAGTTATATATGAAAAAATGCCATTGTTTAAGAGATTGTGTTCTCCTTAAAGAATGACTTCAAAAGAAAAGAATTCTAGGATATTGATCCAAGAAAAGAGATAGATCAATGAGAGTCTTCATTGAGAAATGTCTTTTATGTACTCTCTGTGAAAAAGAATTTATTTTCAGTTTTACTTATGAGAGTTGTAAAAGTCATATACATGTTTAATTTGACTAACATTAGATTACACATATGTGTTAAATAATATTCAAATTTATTTCTAAATTTGATGATTGAACATGAGCCAATCTTGGCAATTATGTCTGTTCAAGAGAATTATCTCGCATGGCGGGAAAAAGTTTGTGATAGTACCCGCATGGCGGGAAAAGTTTGAGAAAATACCCGCATGGCGGAGTAAAGTTGGCATAGTACATATGTTAACCAATCCTGCATGGCGGGAGAGATTTGGCATAATACTTATCCTGCATGGTGGGAGGAGGATGTGATGATTCATGTGCTCTAAAGAAATATCCCGCACATGGGGAGAAGTTTGGGATAGCTCTTATGCTATTCTAGTATTTACCGTACACTCTGATTGTGTCATGGTCATAAGTACTCAATGAGTTTAAGAACAAAAGAAAGTTGCATGTGAACCAAAAGATAAGAATGATATGCAAGTGTGACTTGTAGAAGTATTGATAATAATAGACTATGTTGAGTTTTGAAGTGTAATGAGAAAAATGTACTCCCATACGAATTTTGTTTGCATGATGTAATCATGTGGATGAAGTAAGTAATCAAAGTTTTCTCATTCACAAGAGTTCTGAATGTTTCGAAATTGTGGTAGAAAAGTTCATACCACATTTCGAGGGGGAAAAATGTAAGATTAATTAAGAAAGACAATTAAGAAAAATACTTCCCCCCATACTTCAGATAATGCAATGCATACTATGCATTGAAGGTAAAAGTGATCTATAAAAGATGAATGTGATCGTTAAGGGAGTAAGACGGTCATAATAACGATACCCCTAAAGTAAAGAAATAGCTAAATTCCTGGACTTTTTATAGTTCCGATGGGAAGATAGCATAGTTGGCTAGTATTCATACTGGACGAGTTCAGAGTTATCAAGGCGGTGCTAAATGCGTCGTATGTGTTTTTTTTAACAGATTAAACCAAAAATAAGAAATTTGAAGATACACCATCTTTACAGAAGATAGAGTAATCTGGGGGAGCATGGTACGTAGATAACTAAGGCTTGAATAGAAGTGGGATTACATATCCACTACGGTGTTTATTAGAGCAACAAATTGCTTTATACATGCTGATGTTGTATGACATATACAACACCAGATGTTAGCTCTTAAAGAGGATGAATAAGTAAACAAGGATCTTGTGATATAGGAGGCTATAGAACAATTGCCTTTTGACAATGAAGAGTAACAATAGCCCCATATGAAAGAAGTGCCACGAGGCCCTAGAAGGTCTCAAAGAATAAGAAAATCAGATACTTATGGTGACTAAGAAGTAAAAGTTAAGAAAGAAATTCAAATAGAGAGTGATTCCACCTCATTTGAAGAAGTCATGATAGGTGTTCACTCGTCTAAATGGCAAGAAGCAAAGGAACATGAAATGAAATTGATAAATACCAACGATATTTGGGACTTAGAAGAAATTTCTAATGGAGCCAAAACAGTAGGCTATAATGGGTCTACAAGACAAAGGTGACTCCAAAGGGAATATAGAAAGATATCGAAAGGGAATATGGAAAGCTATAAAGCGCCACTTGTGGTGAAATAATTTACATAAAGAGAATGAATAGATTATAATGAGCATGCAAGGATTCTTTTAGAATCATAATGATATTAGTGGCACATTACGATTTACAGTTACATCAGAAGGATGTAAAGACACATTCCTCAACGGAGATTTGTATGGAAAAGTTTACATGGCATAACTCAAAAGGTTTTGTCGTGGAAGAAAAAGAACGTAAAGGGATGTTGCCTAAAGAAATTCATTTATAGATTAAAGTAAGCTTACAATAAGAAAGTTTGGGTTTAAAGGAAATGTAGAGGACAATTGTATTTATGCAAAGTTTAAACATAGGAAATTCATTTTGCTAATCCTACATGTGGGTAGCACCTTACTCGCTAGTAATGGTGTTAATCTACTGTTGGAGAAGAAACAGTTCTTGTCCTCAAGTTTCAATGAGAATGGTCTTGGTAAAGCGTAATTCGTTCTAGAAATTAGAACTTACCAAGACAAAAGGAAAATGGGTATTAGAACTATCTCAAGTATATACTTAGAGAAGATTCTAAAGAAATAAAGTATATATGTGAGTAAACCTACGCCTGTTCCTATAGTAAAGGATAATAGTTTTGGAAACTTCCAGTGTTCCAAGAACCAATGTAAGATTGATTAAAAGGACGTCCTATATGCTTCAGTTGTTGGAAGCTTACTGAATGCTTATAAGCAAGAACTTACCCTGACATAGTTTATGTATCCGGGATGTTTTTGGCAGAAGTCCAGTCCAGATATAGATCACTGGAATGGAGTTGAGAGTGTTTTGCAATTGTGCAAAGATTTATAGGCCTCATGGTGAGTAAAAAAGAATAAGTACTCTCAAATAGTTGTGGGTACAAAAGTTAAATTTTGATGAGATGTTTAGTGAAATCCACATAGTAGCTAACACTCGCAGTTGGAGTTTTATTGTGGAAAAGCTCCAAAGAAACAGTTATAGTGTCATCAAAGATGCATACCTACAGTATAGCTTGTTATGAGGCTTAAGGACAGGCGAAATGATTAAAAGAACTTACACCCGGAATTGATAATGATATACAACAGCAATAACCATTTAATTAGTTCGCTCCTATAACAACGGATTAAGTGTGCTGCCAAACACATTGACGTTAAAGTTATACGTTGTGAAGGAGAAAGTCCAGAATCATACTAAAAGTATTGAACATAAAAGTAACAAGCAAGTGCTTGCGGATTCGCGTACAAAAGACTTACCACCCAGTGTATTTGGAGAACACACAGTCGACATGGGTTTATGGTATAGCCTATGATTTCTGGACAATAAAGGGCCTAAAAATTGAAGAATTTGTTTCAGAACAGAGACGTGTATTGTAGCTGTTAAGTCTATCGGCGATTGACCATGACGATGAAGCATGCTCTATGCACTAATCCGTGATGGAACAAATAAAAGTGAAATAGATTAAAGTCAAAGTTTAAAGTTAAAGTATGAGTTGAGATCAAGAGGGAGAATGTTAAAATTGATCTCATCCGTCTTTACCCAATGGTCGAGACAGACCCTTGACCACGTCTTAGTCGATGTGTTCAAATGGAAGTCAAAATACCACTGATCTACTCTAGTCGATCAAAAGAGTTAACACACACGTGAGCTGAACCGTGGAGAATGAGAAGTTTTTTTTTCTTTCCCTGTGGTGTTTGGCTAGTCATTTTTCCTAGCGAGGAAAACCTGACCAGAGTGCTGGACGCTTGTATACGGTTGTAGTACCACACTGTTTCGTTTGATGGTGCTTTAGTGCTGGTCAGATTGAAGCCATTGGCATCGTTTTGTGGTTCGTCAATCAGTTTTCAATTCAGCACAGTCTTGCCCCTGTCCAGCTCTGGACGTTTCGCCTTTCATGAGCACTGCCAGTAAAGAAGTCACTGTTCTGCAGGGGCGGATCTACAGTAGGTGCATGGGGGTATAGCTGTCCCCCCAAAATTTCTGGAAAAACACCAAGTATATATACCCTTTAATATCCTGTACATGTATAATATATTGTTAAATACAATTGCTAGTCTGCTCAGTCTATACAACAGCCCCAACACTCTACATTCATTGCTTTCTAGGCCCAACAACAGCCCAGTTTCAAACTGCACAGCACGTATTGATGTATAAGCAATTTGCCGAACAGCAAGACGAAACGACGCGACTTCCTTCTCAACCCCGCCGGCAGCTGTACCCCATGCACCTACTGTAGATCCGCCCCTGCAGAACAGTGACTTCTTTACTGGCAGTGCTCATGAAAGGCGGACGAAACGTCCAGAGCTGGATAGGGGCAAGACTGTGTGCTGAATTGAAAACTGATTGACGAACCACAAAATGATGCTAGGGCCTTGTTTAGATGCACACCAAATTCTAAGTTTTTTCACTCTCTCTCCATCACATCAATTTTTAACCGTTTGCATGGAGTATTAAATGTAGGTAAAAAAAATAACTAATTACACAGTTTAGTTGGAAATCACGAGATGAATCTTTTGATGCGTGGCAGGAATCCATCCAGGGACGATATTTGCCAAATAAAGCAAAAAGTTGATTATTCATCGGGCTTGCAAAAAATTTGCCAGCTGAGGTGGCATGGCCCGCCACTGCGGTTCTGTGCTATTGCTATTGCTAGTGGTAGTGATGTGATATCTCTGCTCTGCTGAAGTCGCCACCTGTATATGTATGTATACAAAATTGCAGCAAAACAATTGGCCGTCTGCGTCTCCGGCACCTGCGAGGCTGGGATGGGGATTGGATGCGTGGCAGGAATCCATCCAGGGGCGCAAGGCGTGAAGGCGGCCCTTTGGCGTCCGCAACGGCTGGGCCAAATCGCCAGCTGAGGTGGCCATGGGATAAGATAAAAAAATGACAATACCAAACTGTGCAGCATTCACGGAGGAGAGAGGCAGACACATGCTCTCTTGGTAAACGTGCGAGTCTAGCGCTTCAACACTCACTAGCGCGGTCATTTCTTCCGTTCTCTTTCTTCCAGAAAATATAAAATATGTTATTTGCTAGCTTATGGGGACGCCCTTGCGCCAGCGAGTACATGACGATTCTTGGCAGCTAATGTAATGTCGCCTCCAATCATCGGCCCTCTCCGGTCGGTCAGAGGCTCCACGAACCACATACTATTTGCTTGAACACGTTACATTACAAAATGCCGGTCAATTAATCCTACGCAAAACAAAGCCAACGAGGAGGTCGCTGCTGCCGCGCTCCAAGCGGGAGGAGGTGGTGACCCAGCCTCGCGGCAGGCCAGAGCACCGACGTGACAAGGAGAGCCGCACCTATGACATCCTGGAAAAGGAAAACTCGTGGATTTTACCCGGATTTGCGTGTGATCGGTGCTGGGCAGGCTCGGGCGGGGGGCGTCATCGCTCCCGGCCTCGTGCTGCCTTTGCCTGCCTGCCTCTGATGCTCGCCAAGGGGCAAGGGCCAGCAATCTCTCGTCCACCCAACGACCCGCGGAGCCCTATCCCCTCGCAAAAGCCAAGATGCCTGTTGCCGTCGCGGCCACTGGATGCGAAATATTTATACGCGCTCCGCCCCCACAACCCGACACCCGCCTGCTCTCTCCCCCCGTCGTCTCGTCTCGCGTCGTCTGCGCTCGTCACAGGTGAGTGAATCCGCCGAGAGCGACCAATGCTCGGTGCCGCACTACTCTGTCTGCATTCGGTGGTCTCCCGCGTGCCGGCGTGAGTGGTTCCGGGCGCTGGTAGTTGACGCGCCGGTTGCTTTGCTGAAGGTGTCGACTGCCGAGTGGGTGGAGAGGGGCGGCGGCCGGTCCGTCGTCGGTTGGTTCGGGAATGGCGGCGCAGGCGGTGGTGCCAGCGATGCAGTGCCAGGTCGGAGTGAAGGCGGCGGCGGCCGCCCGGGCGAGGCCGGCGGCGGCGGGAGGCAGGGTGTGGGGCGTCAGGAGTAGGACCGGCCGCGGCGGCGCCTCGCCGGGGTTCAAGGTCATGGCCGTCAGCACGGGCAGCACCGGGGTGGTGCCGCGCCTCGAGCAGCTGCTCAACATGGACACCACGCCCTACACCGACAAGATCATCGCCGAGTACATCTGGTACGTGCGTACCGTAGCGATTTGCCTTTTTACAAGCTAATAAAATAGCATTGGAGCCACTGAAGGCCATCACTTCTGATTCTGAAGCTTTTGTGGGTGCTGATTCGTCTCTGCTTTCCAGTTCCTGCTCCCCACTTAGATAACAATGTGCACTCCTGCTACTTTCGTGAGTACACTTTGAAAAATATATATTCTAAAATGAGATCACACAACATTGTGTAGGGTCGGAGGATCTGGAATCGACATCAGAAGCAAATCAAGGGTGAGCATTCAACGTCACCACCACCACCATCTGCATTTCCTTTATTGGACACTTGGGCAGTTCCCAGGTCTTTAGAGAACGAATCGATGATTACAGGGCACTCTTTTCCTGATTGTATATCGCTTTTACTTGGCTATATTCAAAATAAACCTTAATGCCTGTGTTTCAGACAATTTCAAAACCAGTGGAAGATCCCTCAGAACTACCGAAATGGAACTATGATGGGTCAAGCACAGGGCAAGCCCCGGGAGAAGACAGTGAAGTCATTCTATAGTAAGAGGGAAATTACAATATATGCGTTCTTTTATATGCAAGCATTGTACTGTTACATTTCTGATGTTTCTCTTTCTCTTTTCAGCCCCCAGGCTATCTTCAAGGACCCATTCCGAGGTGGCAACAACATTTTGGTACCAACCATCCCAACCGAATCAGCCCTTCATATACACGTTTTTAGCCTTTTTGTGCCATTCCACATAAACTTGAATAAAAGGGCTAAAAGAATAGCAGTTACTAGTTACTAGAATGCTACTGCCTTTTCAACTAGTCCTTTAGCTGTAATGCGTTATTTGATTCTATTGTAATTGTGGCATATCCCTCTTGGACTGAATGCCACATTGTCACCTGAATGCATTGGCAAACATGCTGAACTTTAACTAGCATGTGCATGACAGCACGCTGATTAATATAAAATTTGGCTTCCCAGGTTATCTGTGATACCTACACGCCACAGGAGGAACCCCTTCCTACTAACAAACGCCACAGGGCTGCACAAATTTTCAGCGACCCAAAGGTTGTTGAACAAGTGCCATGGTAATTATGACTTAAATCACATGTGCCCTATAAATTATAATGCAAATGTCACAATTATTTTCTCATTGCCTACACGGAATGAGTTGAAAGGTGAAACACTTGCTGTGTCGTTTTCCTTCCAGGTTTGGCATAGAGCAAGAGTACACTTTGCTCCAGAAAGATGTGAATTGGCCTCTTGGCTGGCCTGTTGGAGGCTACCCTGGTCCCCAGGTAGATAAGGAGAAAGAACTTGGTTTATCATGACATTAATGATGTTAGCTTATTGACATACATGTCTTGTATTGGCTTAATGAGCACAGTTTTGAAAAACCTTTGTGTCAAAATATGGCAGGGGCCATACTACTGTGCCGTAGGAGCAGAGAAATCATTTGGCCGTGACATATCCGATGCTCACTACAAGGCGTGCCTTTACGCTGGAATTAACATTAGTGGAACAAACGGGGAGGTCATGCCTGGTCAGGTATGTCTGTGTTACTTCTATAAACATGTAACTTGTATTTTCTTTTTCTAAATCATTGTGGTATAGCACCACCACTCCGCCCCTCATTTCTCTTCTTGCAAAGGAAAAATATAAAATTGTTTAACAGACAAAACATCATAAACCTTATCTGTGCAGTGGGAGTACCAAGTTGGACCTAGTGTTGGCATTGAAGCAGGAGATCACATATGGATTTCAAGATACATTCTTGAGGTACCTCAAATAATAACTAAGGATTTCCCCATATCGTGTCATTTTGTTTCTTTTCTTCTTCCTAATTATTAGAGCATATTTTACAAGTCCAGCAGCTTATTATAGTAAGGCATTTATGATTACACACAGCAACATATCATGATTGAATTAGGCATTTCAGAATAATTTTCTCCTGGTGAAAAATTATATTTCATGTTATCTGTATTGTTCAAAATATCTGAGGCCTGAAGCCCATGATTTCACCTTTAGCTAATACCAATTTTTGCATTGTCATAAACACTTCTAAATAAATATTGTCCTACTCACCTTTATCAGAGAATCACAGAGCAAGCTGGGGTTGTCCTTACCCTTGATCCAAAACCAATTCAGGTATGCCCACCAGTAAGTTGTTTCAAATCATTACAATGTAATAGAATTAAAGGAATCTTAACATATAGCCATATTGTATTGGTAACAGGGTGACTGGAACGGAGCTGGCTGCCACACAAATTACAGGTTACAGTCTTTTATGCTAATAATGCTTAATTTCTTTCCGTTTTTAGTTCATGGTATCTTTGTCATCAATGGACAAACACCAGAATGCCTATAGCACTATAGTTTCGCATATGCTGACTGCTGAGTGTTAAAAACGCAAACTGCTGAGTGTTAAAGAAAAAAGTTTGTTCTAGTGTTCTGGAAAGGGAGTAGAAGTGAAGTATTAGTGTATCGTTAATAAATTGTTGTCTATGTGAATGGATCCAGATGAGTATCCATTCACATCAATACTAACTTTCGTTATTTAATATTTTTCCCAATACATTTGACACACTGGGACTGACAAACAATCTGAATTCCTTGCGAATGTAGCACAAAGACCATGCGCGAAGATGGAGGGTTTGAAGAGATCAAGAGAGCAATCCTGAACCTTTCTCTGCGCCATGATCTGCATATTAGTGCATACGGAGAAGGAAATGAAAGAAGACTGACAGGGAAACATGAGACTGCTAGCATCGACACCTTCTCATGGGTATGGATGGAGCACCTTTCATTATTTTTTGCGAGTCCACTGAATATTGTTTATTTGTAAGTTGTACCAATGAAACATTTTCATTTATCAGGGTGTGGCAAACCGTGGCTGCTCTGTTCGTGTGGGGCGAGATACCGAGGCAAAAGGGAAAGGTACATGTTCTTGCAGTGTTCCCTGAAATTGGTTACAGTTGGAACTCACAAAATACACCCCACCCCCAAGTAAATAAATAAATACCACAGTGACATATAACCTCCCCCTAACTTTGCATCATCTTGTTGAGTTGGTGTACCTTCTAACTGGGGTCGTAGTTACTTCACTCTATCTGAATGGCCCTATAATGTGCTTGGTTTCCAGTTCCTTGGGGATGATTTTGAGTAAATCTGGCCAGATACACCCTCATTCGCTCAGGGCATCAGTAATTTTCTATTTTGCATCTTGTCAGATGATTTTTGACATAACTCTAATCCCTATTCTTAAAGCAAGTGCTGCACTGCTGCAAAATCCATGCATCTGAATTTAGTAGCTTGAATTACAAATCCAGAGCCACTTATCCTTTTCACCTTGTCCACTCCAACAGGTTACCTGGAAGACCGTCGCCCGGCATCAAACATGGACCCATACATTGTGACGGGGCTATTGGCTGAGACCACGATTCTCTGGCAGCCAACCCTTGAAGCGGAGGTTCTTGCCGCCAAGAAGCTGGCGCTGAAGGTATGAAGCAGTTGAAGGATAGTTCAGGCACGAATAAACTGGTCCACAACAAAATTGATCTTCTGTTCGTTGGCGTGGGTCTTGAGACTCTGCTCGGCGCCACTCTGTAAAAAATTACGGTTTCTGGACCCACATTGTCTTTGATTCATTGGTTACGGTTGTTACATTTTGCTTGCACACCATCACACCATGTTTGGACTTGGCCTGTACTTTTTGACTCCATTTGGGGCTCAACGATGGACAGTTTCAGTCGTCAAATCTGGTTCTTCAGTTGTGATGCCAGTCTTAAGTCTTAAGTCTTAACCCGTGTCAGGTTAGGGCTTCCCCAACGCACCACCGTGCCGTGCTGCCCCCAACATCCACGTCGACATCAGACAGCCATGTCACCATCAGACAGCCATGTCACAGAGAAGAGTAGCCTCGCAGGGTGCACCCTATAGAGGAACCGGCTTGTTCGCTCGAACTTATCAGTTAAAATCTACAATATTTTTTTTTTCATGGCAAATCAGCGAACTAACTGTAGAATGCGGACTGACGTTTGCTGGCTCAGGACCACAGTTAAATCCAGCGTTCTCTCTCTAAACATGAAAGATTCCAGTACTGCTTGTCTCAGACTGACGCCAACTTTTCCCCATGAGCAACATAGTACTGTACAGGCTAGGGGGACCATGACAAGACAATTCACGTACAGTCTGCGATGGGTGAAGTGTGGTTTCAACTTGTCTAGACCTACGTGGAGTTTGATTTTCCTCTGGGGCTAACGCTCACATATGCCTGCGTTGTTGAAGCCCTTATGATTCTGAGCTGAAAGCATGCCTATGTCACTGGCTATTTGCCCTCTGATCTACACCCTCGCATGACTGCATTTCGCACAGCGGCTGGGGCATCTTACGGCGTTAGTTCCACCCCAACTTCTAAAAAATTGCTACAGTACCTGTCACATCGAATGTTTGCGGCTCGTGCATAGAGCATTAAATGTAGACGAAAAGATAAACTAATTGCACAGTTTGGTGGGAAATTACGAGACGAACGTTTTGAGCCTAATTAGTCCATGTTTGAATAATATTTACCAAATAAAAACGAACGTGCTACAGTAACCCTAAAATTCAAATTCCTACGACTAAACAGGGCTTACTGATCGGATGCTCCGGTGCAAGCAACTGCAGCATCGCACGGCAGAGGGCAGGGTAAACCAACAGTGAACAACTTCGCAGAGCCACGGCTGGCATGTCGGCAACATGCCAGTAACCGATATAGCTACCTTTTCAGCGGTGTTTTTTTGGGCCATTTTTAACGACGATTTGACGTACGACCAGCTGCTATTTGTGTGTGGATCAGCACAGTGACATAGCACCTATCAGCGAGAGAAGCAATCATGCAAGGGCAGGGGCAGAGAGCAAGAGCAACAGAAGCAAGAAGCAGTACAGCGGGGCCTATATTTTACAAAGACGGCAGGGGTGCTTGTACAATCAGCGATGAAAACACACGAAACTAACAACATGATTGGCTACACAAGGATTAAGGACAGTGTCCTATGGTTTGGTGGGGTGCCTGTGCTTGGGCTTCGCGGTCGGCGGAGAGCCAGCATGCATGGCCACGCCACTGTAGTCCGCGCTGTAAATCAGCCCTGCCTCGGCATCCTCCCCCTTATCTGCCGTCCACCGTGCCTTTGCCTCCGCATCCTCCTCGAGTTTCTTCACCTCCATAGCCACTTCCTGCAGGCCATGAACGGATCATGTGTGAGGCTGTGTCAAGTTCTCTGTCTGCACATTGCTGAAGGTGTTAACTGAACCAAAAAAAAAGCATCCTATGTCAAGACTGGAGACAGGCAGGCAGACAACGGCTGGATTCAGCATTTCAGCCTTCAGGCGCTGAGTTTTCCTTTGCTGATAACAAAATGAAACTTCAACAGGTTCTTGGTCATGGATGTATGAGCTATGTATGAAGTAAGAACTGACCTCAGGCTGCAGCATCTGCATGTGCTTGCTCTGATGCTGGTAATGGTTTCCTGATGACTGGCCGAGTTCTCTGCCTTTGCGACCTAGTAGAACCTGCTCTGGATGCTTGCCGAGGGAAGACGGAGGAGAAGATGAAGAAGCACCTGCAGCTGCAAGAGTGGCTAGAAGAAGGCTTGAAGCAAGTACAACACAGGATGGCTTCATCATGCTGCTGTATTGGGCTATTGGCAATGTTGTCGATGTTGGTAACACGAGAAGAGCAGAGCAGGCTCCTCTCCACGGACCACGGCTCTCTTGGGTATATATATAAAAATAAATTGGGACGGCTGCAGGACCCAAATGCATGATGGTGTCTAGAGTTTGACACATTTGCAGATTAGACCTGTATTTATGAAAAGTTAGATACTTATGATTCGGATTAGTATCATCTATATGCACCACTTTGCAACACATGGCAAAACCGGGGCGGTACTAGCATAATGAGCCTTAGTTTGTGGACCATTACGTCACATGTGAGTGAGTAAGCAATTGCGTTAGGAGGCTATAGGAATATAAGTGTACAATTATTAGGTAGCTAGGGGCACGGGCAACCCCGGAGTTTGGCGATTTGGTGAATGCCTTTTTGAATGGCTTTTCTTTCTTTCTTTTTTTCTCTACGGGCTCTCGTGAGAATAGATCCCTACTACTAAATCTGCCAAACTAAAGAGGGACCCCATCACCCAGGCAGAGGCAACATACTCCAGTCTGTTGGACTATTCGGATCACATGGTCATAGATCTAGCCGGGTACTTCTTGTTAATGAATTACATGTCCTAGTACATGAACTAGACAGAGATTAGAGGGAGGAGTAGTGCTAGATTACCGACCATCGTAGGCCTTCGATCTAGAGGCGTCTGCCATGGACGTTGCGTTAGTGTCTGCGCTAGGGCAGCGACGGTCGGTGAAGACGGTGTCGGTGATGAGCATTGGTGACCGGCAGTGAAGACCGATGGCGGCGCAATGCAGTGGTGGAGGTGCTTCCCGTCACTGGCTGCGCCCCTCTAAATCGGGTTTAGGGTTTGTCGGTTAAGGTGGGAAGCTCGACTCAGGCGAACCTCGTGACTTGAGCCACCGGCCCCCACCTCTATTTATTGCACAGTGTGACAGAGGCCCTCCAGCCATAGTGAGTTGGGCGCCTCCGATCAGGACGTGAATCAAAGGCCTAACTGGGCCGTTGGGCCCAGTTTAGGATTAGAGATCAATCTAACAATCGCCCCCTTGATCTTTCAATTTTATATCATTTACTTGTTCATTCCATTACAGATTAGCGCATAGAGCATGTTTCATCGTCACAGTCAATTGCCGATAGATTTAACAGTTACAACACACCACTCTGTTCTGAAATAGATACTTAACTTTGGGCCTTCTTTTGTCCAGAAATTATAGGCTTTCCCTTAAACCCATGCCGGTTACATGTTCCCTGAACACGTTGGGTGGTAAGCCTTTTGTAAGCGGATCCGTGAGCATTTTTTTGGTACTTATATGCTCAAGACTTATGACATGATCCCGGACTTTATCTTTCACAACATAATACTTTATGTCAATGTATTTGGCAGCACCACTTGACTTATTGTTGTGAGCATACTGTACTGTCGGATTATTATCGTAGTATAACTTAAGTGGTCTATAGATGTCGTCAACCACCTTCAAACCGGGTATGAACTTCTTTAGCCAGTTCACCTGCCCCGTTGCCTCATAACACGCTACAAACTCGATATATATTGTGGACGATGTAGTGACGGTTTGCTTTGAGCTTTTCCATGAAATAGCTCCCCCTGCGAGAGTGGATACATATCCAGACGTGAATTTTCTATCATCTTCCGCATAATCAGAATCTGAATATTCCACTATATAGAGTGAATCAGATCTTCTATACGTCATCATGAGGCTTTTCGTTCCTTGCAAATAACGCAAGACTTTCTTTACTAATTTCCAGTGTTCTGTTCCAGGATTGCTCTAGAATCTGCCAAGTAACCCGGTGACAAATATCAAGTCAGGGCGTGTACATACTTGAGCATATTGCAAGCTTTCGACAGCTGAAGCATATGGAACCGCTTTCATTTGATCGATCTCATATTGGTTCCTAGGGCATTGAAAATCCCCATATCTGTCGCCCTTAACTATAGGAGCGGGTGAGGGACTATATTTGTGCATACTGAATTTCTTTAAGATCCTTTCTATGTATGCCTTTTGTGACAGTCCTAATACCCATTTACTTCTATCTCGGTGAATCTCGATCCCTAGAACGAACGAGGCTTCACCAAGATCTTTCATATCAAATTTTGAGGACAAAAATTTCTATGTCTCCAGTAGTAGACTGACATCACTATAGCAAGTAAGATATCGTCCACATACAGGACAAGGAAGATAAACTTCCCATTCTTAAACTTTGCATAGACACAATTGTCCTCAACATTCTCTTTAAACCTAAAATTTCTTATTGTCTGATCAAACTTCAAGTACCACTGTCTTAAAGCTTATTTTAATCTATAAATGGATTTCTTTAGGCGACATCCCATTCGTTCTTTTCCTTCCATTACAAACCCTTCGGTTGTGCCATGTAAACATTTTCCTCCAAGTCCCCGTTGAGAAATGCCGTCTTTACATCCATCTGATGTAATTCTAAATCATAATGTACCACTAATGCCATTATGATTCTAAATGAATCTTTACAAGAGACTGGAGAAAATGTCTCATTGTAATCAATGCCTTCTCTTTGCGTAAAGCCTTTCGCCACAAGTCGCGCTTTATATCTCTCTATATTTCCTTGAGAGTCAAAATTTGTTTTGTAGACCCATTTACAGCATACTGTTTTGGCTTCTTTATGAATTATTTCTAAGTCCCAAACTTTATTGGCATTCATAGATTTTATTTTATCTTCCCTGGCCTCAAGCCACTTTGATGAATGATCACTTCTCATGGCTTCTTCAAATGAGATGGGATCATCCTCCATTTAAAATTCCTCAGTGTTGTATACTTCATAGTCAGCAGGAATAGCTGATTTTCTAACTCTTTGAGACCTTCTAGGGGCCTGCACATTTGGCACATCTTCTGTTTGAGGCTGTTGTTGCTCCCCCTCATGTGTGGCAATAGGTTCTATAGGATCCTGAAGAACAGGTTCCTCATCGTCATTCATTGTTGCCACAGGCGGAATAACAACAGATGTTGGCACCACAGTATCTTGCACTGTTGGTGCAACGATAGCAGGTAGTGAGAAAAATGGCTCATGAATCATCGAAGTGGGCACATACACCCGCTTCTCTTCAAGGTCAATTTCTCGAGCTACCATGCTCCCCCTCATTATTTCGTCCTCTAGAAAGACAGCGTGTCTCGTTTTCACAAACTTTGTATGTCTGTCTGGACAGTAGAAACGAAAACCTTTTGACTTTTCTGGGTAGCCAATGAAATGACAACTTACTATTTTGGGATCTAGCTTCCTAGTGTTTGGGTCAAATACTTTAGCCTCAGTAGGACTCCCCCACACACGTAAGTGGTTTAGTGAGGGTAGTCTTCCTGTCCACAACTCATACGGTGTTTTGGGCACCGACTTACTTGGTACTCTATTGAGAATATGAATGGCGGTTTTTAACGTCTCCATCCATAGGCTCAACGGTAAGGTGGAGTAACTTATCATAATGCGCACCATATCCATCAGGGTACGATTGCGTCTTTCAGCTACTCCATTCTACTGAGGTTCGCCTGGTGTAGAATACTGGGCTACTATGCTATTCTCCTGTAAGAACCTTGCAAAAGGTCCAGGAACTTGGCTATATGGGGTATGCCGACCGTAGTACTCCCCCACGGTCAGACCTGACTATCTTAATCTTTAAATTGTGTTGGTTTTCAACTTCTGCCTTAAATATCTTAAATTTATCCAATGCTTCTATTCTTTCTTTGATTGGATAAATGTAGCTATAACGGGAGTAATCATCTGTGAATGTTATGAACGAATCATAACCATCCACACTCTTTACAGGAAACGGACCACAGATGTCTGTGTGAATAATCTGTAAAATTTCTACGCTTCGTTTGGCATCTTTGTTAATTTTCTTTACATACTTTTCTTTTATGCATTCTCTCTATTGTTCTAAATCTGAGAACTCTAATGGAGGAAGAATATCATTCTTAACTAGTCTTTCTATTCTCCCCCTCGAAATATGGCCTAAACGACAGTGTCATAATTTCAACGACGCATCATGAGCTCTCTTTCGCTTTCTGTTTACATCCGTAGACGAGGATACATTCTCATTGTCGCACGCAACGTTTCCATCATCGCATACAACATTCACATCATCACGTAGTGATAACAAATAAAGCTCATTTTGTAAGATAGCAAGACCAACACATGCATTATTAAATGTTATCTTATATTTGTCATTTCTAAAATGGCAATCATATCCATCATTGTCCAAGCAAGAAACACTAATCAAGTTTCTCTGTAGGGAGGGAACATAAAGTACATCTCTAAGTAAAAGTGTGAAACCATCAGCAAGCTCTAGACAAAGATCGCCAACGGCTCCAACATCTGCTCGGACTTCATTTACAACTTTAACGTGTCTTTCTCTTCTTTGCGTAGTCCTCGTCGAACAGAATCCCTGTAAAGAATTAGCAACATGAACAGTTGCACCTGAGTCAATCCACCAAGTAGATTTTGAATACTGTACATACATGGATTCATTTATGAATGTAATAATGTTCTCACCTTTCTTTGCCATGATCATCTTTAAGTAATCAGAACAATCTTTCTTATAATGTCCCGTCTTCTTGCAATAGAGACACTGATTTTTCTCTACTGTGAACTTGTTCTGACTGAGGCTGATGCAGCATGGGACCCTTTCCCTTTGGCTTTGAGGATGAGTTAGCATTATTATTCTTTTTCTTGTTGTCTTTCACATAATTGATAGTGCAACCATTGGCAGCTTTCATTCTCTCCTCCTCTTGCACACACATAGCCATGAGCCTCTCTAAGTCACACTTCTCGGGCTGTATATTGTAGTTGACAACAAAAGTGTCAAATTCTTTTGGCAAGGAAGCAAAAATCAGATGGATAAGGAACTCTTCCTTTAGAGCCATGAGCCTTGTAAATGTGCTCTCTTATGCCACCATTTCCAGAGTACCTCTCTGTCACCAGCTGCTTTATCAACTGGTTAGCATATGTCTTTGAA